AATCCCTTATTATTATTAGTCTACATCTCCAAAGCTCAAAACGCTTTCTTTGATTCTAGTGAAGGTGTGTGAAGTTTAAAAACACAGGGGAGCTGTTCTGTTTTACATCATGACATCACAAGATGAAACATAGTAGAGCTGCTCGTGTAAAAAATCATTATCATAATTATTTTGGTCAATATTGAATTCATGATTATTCAAATGATTATTTTTTTAGTTACACAATGCATTTATTCAGCATTTCTCTCTCAAATCAAATTCTCTCTCTCTTCAAATTGAAAATAAATACAGACTACCAATATGTACCTTAGAGCAGTTTTGCGACTTAAAACATAAAATGAATAAAATATAGTGTGCACTATCTGGAGTAATGTGACTTACTATAAGAGTCTTGCAGAAGCACATTATTGCTTTAATGGGATTATAAAAGGGCATGGGGGTAGATAAACGTGGCTTCTCCCCACTCCTTTTCAGAATGATTGATTTTTTATTTTTATTTTATTTTGGAGATTATAGTTGTGATGAGCAATGTAAAATAATTGCCTTTATGTATCTGTTGATTACTGCAATTTATCATTTAAGGAAACATCCAAATAAACTTATATAATAAACTAAAAAAAAAAAAGAAAAAACTATAAAACTTACATAATAATAATAATAATAATAATAATAATCTTGAACATGATATAAGGCATAGAAAAACATCAATGTATCCAAAATAAACTATATATCCAGCTGTTCTACAATCTCTATATTTAAAAAATTAAATAAATATACTTACTCATATAAAAATATCCCAAAATAAACTTTGTTAAGCTTTAAATCAATTCAACTCGATTATATGAGTTTGGAGATCGTTTGACACACAAATCGACATCACAATCAAAATTTAGTTAATTGCACAGACTTAGAACAAAGTGTTTTTGTTTGCGAGAAGAACTCAGCCTGCAGGGTTTGTGTGTTAAACATGAATGAAAAAAACTAAAACATTATAACTGATCAAAAAATAGCATAAAATGAGGCCTTTAATGTTGAAAATCATTAAAAACACTCTAATTAAAAAATAGTGTTTTTAATTATCATAGTGATATCGGAATCAGTACTGAGCATCGGGTATATTCCTTAGTATCGAAATTGAGTCTGAAATTTTCGTATGTCCTCTAAACAGGATGAAGTGTGTACCATACATACTGTAGCTTGTGGGCGGATGTCAGTAATCTATACGCTACTGCGACTACTCAGTGTACCACAACAGACTATGCACTGTTCTTTTCCATTGACTCTCCCATTCATCTCCATTATTAAAGTCCTGTCCCGGCTGCATCAGATAATTCACATGGCACTGGAGGCGAGTGAAGGCTCTTTGAAGGTGAAAAAAACCTCCACATTTCCCTTCTGTCTGTTCGAATTACGCCGGACATGCAGCCGGTCGTGATGAGAAAAACGATCAACCAAAGCGAGGATTTGAGTTATGTGTGATGATCTGTTTTTTTTATTTTGTTGGCCTGGGCAGTAGGGGGCGGCAGAGCTCGGTCCAGATAAGACCCTGCAGGAGGTAAGGCTATAAGGATAATCTCTGCGCGCTGTAGGTGGTCAGGTCCATGTGCGGGGGCTGATACTTTTTGCAGCCGATGTCGTCAACACTCCCTGTAGACGTGGCGCTAACTGAGGGCACTGCTCTGTCTGAAGCTTTGTTACTCGTTAGACTGTAATCTGAGCTTTACTTTAACCCTGACCACACAGAAATGACTTCCAACAGGTGAGATGATTTGGCATAGTGACACCATGGTAACTGCTGAACGTTCCTCCATTGACACACATGCAGAACCATCCCAGCTTGGTGTGAAATATTTGTCCAGCAGTAAATAAATAAATAGCACAATTAAACATTTTAGTAGCCAGTTCTTGTATCACAATTATAGTTCAAATGTTATCATACGGGCTTGTACTGCAAAAAATTAAATTATATGATTATGGGGAGGGAGAAAAAACTTTATAACACAATTTTCTTGGAGATCACCATTTCTATTTTATCACGATTTATGCAAACTTTGGGTTTTTCTATTGTTTTAAAGAGGTCGCTACTAGGGCTGTAACGATATCCAAGTCTCACGATATGATATTGTCACGTACGATATTTACTGCGATATCGTGGAAAAGCTGAGGATATGGTGTGGAGGCTCACGATTAGGGATGTAACAATATCCAAATCTCTCGGTACGATATTTTCACGATATACATCTCACGGTGCGATATTTATTGTGATATTTTGTGGAGCTAACAAAACTGTTAATATTTAATACTTTAATACGTTAATAATAATACGTTTTCTTCTTAAAATGCCTTGACAAGACTTAATCCAAAGAACTAAGACTTAAAAGTGCTTAGAATTGTTATTTCTTTCATGTAGTCTGCACTGAAATGGAGCAAAGGATCATGGTCTATGTAGTTCCCTCTGTCTTTTTTTTAGTTATTGCTGCACCCTAACTCTTAATTTAAGCAAAGAGACTTACAATTCCATATATTGTGATAGTCCACGATATTATTGTGAGAACTTTGACAATACGATATCACGATATTTCGGTTATTGTTACATCCCTAGTAGCTACTGTATATGCTATGTTATTTCAAGATATGAAATGATCAGTCAATCAGTCAGTTAGAAGATACAAACTAAAGATGCAGATGTATTTGTTGGATTATTTTGTGGAAAAAAGTACTAATAAGTATTACACAAGTATCAAGTTTTATTCAAATGTGATGTCCCATTTACAAACAAGTGGGCCAAGTTTTTTTTATACAGATATGTGTTTATTTATCCTTAATTAGATTATAAAATGTAAAGTAAAATGGCAGAAAAGTAGCAGTGTGTATTTCTGTTGTCTATAATCCAAGCCATCACTATGAGTATAAAAAAAACAAACAACTCTTTTGTCACCAGGAGGAAACAATCAGGCTCGAGGTCAAGGGTCAGGGAGGTCTTCCTGGAGATAATTTCATGTAGCGCAGACACAGGTAATACATTTGTTTAGTTAAGTTGTACATTTTAAGCTATTCAGATTCAGATTCAGAGCTTTTTTAGACTCACATGTTCTAAAAATAGTTATTAACTATTGATCCAGCTGCCAGTCAGGTCCAAGTTATTGTTAGAAAAAGTTACTAGGATGCATTTTGTTCCCTGCACACTATTAAAAATAATGATAGTAAATTTCACACCCTCAAAAACCTGTGACTGTTTGAGCACAAATATGGAAGTGCAATGTGCGGTCAACATTATGGTTAGTTTTGTGTTTGATGTATGTTTGTCAGCTTTATATTGAATGAATATCTTTAGTTCACGTGTCATCTGTGCGTGTGATCCCAGCACAGCTCTGATATTACATCTCCCTTTGCTTTTAACCTGTCCACTCTGTTTAGCACCAACAGCTGGCCACTGGCTATATTCAGACCAGATCAGCAAGTGTAGGCTCTGCTTACTCCCACATACGCCATGACATGGTTTTAATTATGGACACCCAAGCAGCAATCAGTTCAACTTTAGTGCTCATGGTTTGAAAATAGTATCCTCTAATGTACTGGGTGCAGCATTTATTTTGGCCATAAGGTGGAGACAATCCCTTTCAAACTCAGAGGAAAATGTGTTTCTGAATAATAGATTCTTCAAAACAGATTTAATGTGGGTTAATCATTAAAAATTGGGGGAATTTATCAAAATATAAAATGCATATATGTATAAGGGTACATTATTTGGTTCAACAGATGGTGTGACTGGGGCATTGGCAACATTCACATGCAACACATTTAATCTTTGATTGACTGCATATTGTATGAAATCTCTGAGGACTGACGATGGACTAAACGTAGTTGCCATAGTAACCATGCAGTCCGAGTGATGATCATAAGAAGATTACGTAGAAATCAGCAGCATGCATGAACATGGAGAAACAGACATTGGTGCTACACTAGTCTAGTACTATGAACCACAGCTCCATAAATCTACCCTGTCAGGGTGTTATTTGAGCCGAAGGTTCACAATCAGTGTCCAGCTCACTGTAAACCACTGCACAAAACACAATAAACTATTGCAGAAGAACACAGAATGTTCTGTATTCTATTTTTATATGCTATTTCATACAGAAGCAAACAAGGTTAATCAAACATGCCATGCAAAAATGAACACTGTCTTTATAACTTATATTGGCCTTTTATTTTTAGTACAATTATTATGACTATTTAAAGTGCTACAGATTCCACTTTTACACACATTTACACACTAAATCACATTGTCGTTTGAACATTTTATTATGCAACTTTGTTTTCAAGTTTATGTTCGTTCACATCACTTACAAGCAAGCCAATCAAGCCGAGACATCCTAAATACACTGGCCAAATCTACAGTGTGTGCACCTCAGATATGAGATGTGCTGCTTGTGGAGGGGACCAGTCCATGAATGAAATGGCGCTGGAGAAATAGTTCTCAACCTAAGATTGTATGAGGAGAATATGTGAGTGAAAACCCCACTGAATTATACTGAGAGCAATCAGGCAGAGCGCCAAGGCCTTCTTAGATAGAATCCTCCTTAAACTTCAAACACGCCCACGGCTGAGGAGAAGGTGAGTAAAACTGGGTACTGTCACATGACCAGCTGCATAATCCTTTATAGTGCAATCTGCTGTTGAAGATTTTCACTAAGAATTATTCATGGGTAACGATATCAAACAAACTGTCAAATGATAAATTATGTGAGTGTATCTCTTATGTATGGATAAAGTTTGCCTATAGACCACCTAAATGTAGTCTATAGAAGGCCAACAAACCAAAATGTACCACACTGAAACAATAACTTTTGCAGTATGTTTGTTTATTATATTTATATTTCAAAATTTATTTATTTATTTTTTTACTTTATGCCTTTTTTTGGCAGTTTTTAATGCTTAAAGCCAACCACCAGATGGCGCTCTGTTGCAAAAGCGGAACAAAAGTGCTGCTGGTGACCGGGGGGAGCGTTTTTGATGAAGGACCAGCATGGCGGATCCAAAACCAAAACAATCGTAAGACACCCGTCAAAATATTTGTTTTAGGTTTAATTTCTTTTTGTGACCACTGTCTTTGGACCCGTATCGCTAGCACTTTCCTACTTTATTTAACATACACCCGATTGAATTGGGGTTTTCTGGGGGATATTTGTAGGCCAAATGAAAATAAAAATGTGGGGCGAAATATTAGAGCCCCGAAAACCTAAAGAGAAAAAAGAGAAAACGCGTTTAGATATCCACGAAACACCGGTAGAACAACCAGACACGCCTAAAGAAGCTATAAAAGTGTTCCCTACGAGTAAACCAAGCTCCAGCTGCGCAGACTCTGGACATCAGCTGCAGCATGAGGTACTGTTGTGTTTCATTCATGTACATTCTGTAAAAAACAGTGTCCATTTATATCACTAATGTTGTTTTGTGAATCAGAATCTGTGCGTAAAAGCCATGGTGGAGGTTATAGCCCAAAGTGGAAGCCATGTGAAGAGCCAACAGATAGGAGAGGCTGAGCTGACCCTGGATCAGCGCAGAGAAGAGCTGCTGCAACAGTACAAGAGCCGACCACTCGTGTTTTTAGAGAAGTACCATGTATGTATGTATGCACCAGGTGGAGTTGAAGGAAAAAATGTTTGGGGTGAACTGAATTTTACTTAAAAATCCTATATTAGGCAAAATGGACTCTTTTGAGCTAGGACTGGGTAGCCTGATTCACCAGCCGGTTTCACTTTGTAGAAATCGTCTGACCACACAGCGTTATGATTCGTTTGCTCGACGGTAGGCAGGTACTTTTTTTCATTTAACCAGTCTCCGTTGTTTGGTCGTGACGTATGTAATGCGCCGCTAACAGGGCTAACTGGTATATAAAGCTTTTCCTAAATCCCGTAGGAAGAAGGACAATAACGTCTTTCTCCTCGATAAAACACCAAACATTCTCTTTGTTCCGGCTTTAAATCCTCAGGAATCGTTGACAACACAGAGTGTATGGTTCTTTGTTGATTGGCTGGTGCCCAAACTCATACTCCCGGGGGTTTTGCGAATTGTCTAGTGTATTTTGATTCCTGACCAAGTAGTTGGAGAGAAATGAAACTGAGTAGAGCCCCAGCCTGGCTAAGGGCTGGGTATCATTAAGAAGTTGCCAATATGATACATACCTCAAGACATACGATATATATCTCGACATAGTGCACTTTCAATTCGATACAGTGTATTTCAAATCAATTCGATATGGTTCAATTAAAAAAAAGGCTAAATCATGGCTGTGGTACTAAAAGTCTTTGTTAAACCACTTCTTGTGCAAAGAGAATATGAAACACGCCCATTTTACTCATTAAAAGAGTGAAAATGTCAAATGTGTTGCATGAACAAGTTTCCTTCCTCTAAGGGCCTGTTTACATGAGAATGCTTGCGGGTATCGGAAGTGCCTTTTGTTTAGACGGTGACAGCGTTATTAGGGCTTAAAAATCCAAAAAACTGAAACCACCCTCCAGAGTGGAAAAGATGAATACGCTCCACCGTAGCATTTCCATCTACACTGCCCAAGACGCAGAACTCTGGTCAAATCTGTTCATGTCGCTTACACATTTACGTCACGTATGAACAGTACACAGAAACAAACATGTCGGATGGCATGCATACCCAATTGAATTTCCCACACTTTTGCGTCACCGTATGCACACAGATTTCCTCCCGAAAATGCTCGTCTTAAATGTGGAATAAAAAGTGAAGATGCGACGCCATTTTTGCGTCTTCTGTGCAGGCCGTCATCATATAAACGTAGTCTAAACAAGCAACAAAACTGTAGCGCTGTAACAAAATAATTTAGTAAAATATACCAAAAAATACTCATGATATATTGATACAGCAGTCCATGATATCAATACTGTGTCGTCACATTAAATGAAACAATATATCGATATTTCAATATTTTTGCACACCCCTATTTTGGGCTTTTAGTCATATTAGTATGTCGTTACTCTTGTGGAATTTTGCATCCCCACCATAGTTATAGCAAGGACACCTTCAGTTCATTGTTGACATTTCTCTGTGTTTAGCTTTGGTGTCATCAAATCATTACAGAATTTGTCCTTTAACTTTATCAGTTTCCTTGGTCAACTCGTCTCCCAGAAGCGATATGCTATGCTCTTCTCATTTTATCTCGGCCAGATTGTCTCCAAAATGTCCTTCTTAGTTGCTATTTAAACGTCCTTGTGTGGAAGTATAGTAACATAGTAGTCAATACTAACGCGCAGTGTTGAGTAGACTTCTTCTGCCTCAGACATCCAGAGTCTCCCACCTCTCTGTACAACTCAAGGACTTGTTAGGACAATAAATATTTTCCCATAGTTATGTCATCAAAAATATATTAATACATTTAATCTGTCTACATCTCCAAAGCTCAAAATGCTCTCTTCCACCTTGTGATGTTATGAGGCGGTAGTTTAGATAATTTCAGGGCTGAAATTATCCAAATGATGGTGTATGGAGTTTAAAAACACAGTGGGGAACTTCCTGTATGGCATCACAAGTCTTTTAAGAACTCTGGGTATGTTTTTGATGAAGATACAACATTAAAACATAGATCATAAAATAGTGATATATGGGCCCTTTGCGTATCAATAAACATGTCTTATCTTTTTAATGGTTTGAAAATATGACTGTTTGGATTTTTAGAATAATTTGAAACCCGAGCATCTGGCGGCCTTTGCCCATGTCAGCTCAGACCCAAGAACACAACACTACAGTAAAGTCATAGAGAGGCGAGCGACAGGATGCACCAACAAAACAAGGGTCAAAAACCACCGCTATGCCGCCCTCCGATCCTTGCAGAAAGGTAAGTAGCTGGATTTAAGTGTCTGTAAATACTTTGCTCCATAAAACTTTATCATTTTTTTGTTTGTTTGCAGCGGGTGGCTATTTTAGTGACGAGCAGATGCGGAGAAGGGAACCACTCCTTTATGAACAGTACATTGGCCAGTACCTAACTGATGAGGAGGTAAACATTTATTAGTGAACGGGTTTTATTTAGAAGTAACTGAGTACTTGAGTAAACAGAAATGTATTTTTAGCAGCATTAGTTCAGCCTTTTTTCTTTTAGGGTCACTACTTTAAGCTTCTTCTTGACGAATATGACTTTAAAGGTCCATTGTGCAGCTTTTCTCCATGGAAATGTTATCACTTTGTTTCACAGTATCATATTAAACCTTTCAATCTTCACTGAGACCAAACCAGGACAAGTTATTGGTAAAATCTGTGGAGAGGTGACCCCGCTCACAGTCAGAATCCCAGTTTTTCTAGGTATTTCTGAGCAGTAAAACCACCTGTAACTGAATAAATGTATGGTAGAATTGTTAAATGTCATACTGTGGAACCAAAAGGTGACGGACCCCCAACCAAAAAGTTACATAGTGCACCTTTAAATTAATATCATTTGGAGTTGAGTTTTATTTGAATATTCAATATATATTTTTACTAATTTACTCACCTCCGACTGGCTGACAGTGTAGTTTGTGTGTGACTGTCTTACTTGAGCAATACTTGCGATAAAGAGTAAAATTTTGTTGCAGGTGCTGGAACGCTCACAAGAGGTCATGCAGGAAGGTGCGTCAGAAGGATCAGGGGGGCTCGCTCACCTCCTCCTCGACTCTTACCAAGAGCGTCTGCTACAGAACAGACTGCAGGAGGAGCAGGAGAGAGAGGATGGAGCACAGGAGGAGGAGGAGGAGGAGGAAGAAGATGATGATGGTGAGACAGTCTGTTTCTCAGGTTCAAGATGGAAAGGATTCTTGAGGGTATTCTCATGTGCAGTATGTCTTCTTATTTCTGCTTCAGATATACAAGGTCAGGAGAAGGAGTGGGAGCCCAGTGCAGAGGAGAAGGCTCAGCTTCGAGAGGAGTTCATCAGTCAAATGCACCAGCGCTTCTTGGACGGCAAAGACAAAGACTTTGACTACAGGTTCCTACTTTTTCCGCTCTATTGTGTGTGCTGTAACGGGAGGGTGAAGGGTTTTCTCTGTTGTAACTTTTCAATTCTGATATCCGATAAATTGTCTGTGCTTTACAGTGAGGTGGACGAAAACCCAGACTATGACAATTTGGACATTGTCAGTAGAGACGCAGAGGAAAAGTATTTTGATGAAGATGATGAAGAGGAAGATGATGAAAACATGATTGAATAAAGCTGGAGAACTTGAGAAAATTTTAAGTGTTGTGATTCTGGATTTTCTTTTCATAGCCGTTACATGGTTGAGGTTTGGGATTAGCTGAAATAAAATCAGACTTGTGAACTAACTTTAATCATTAGGTACACTGTTAAAGGCCTACCATTTAGAACAGTGTTTCCCAAACTTTTTTTCTGGGGACCCATATTTTAAAAGTTACAAACCTTCGCAACCCAAGTCAATAGACATTATTCATATATCACAAAATAAAGGTGGATTTGACCATTACTGAACTGATGAGGATATTTTATTGATGACTGAACAATTAGTATTACTCAAGTATTAAACAATGAAAAACAATAATTGAACCAGCAATATTGGAACATAATAGTCAAATTATTACAAAAAGATTAGAAATTATGCAAAACATGTTTTAACGTTTCAGCATTTCTAGTGAGATAGGTGGGCCTCTTGCGACTCACCTGAGGATCGCAACCCAGTCTTCGGGAAATAATGATTTAGAATATTATGTGTAAACATGAAATTAACAAATTTCCCAAAACAATAGGTTTAGAAACATTTAATGGTTACAAATCTGTGATTCAGGTTACATTTGACTACCTAATATGTACCTATTTACCTATACGTACCAAAATGAATGGCATTGGTTTCACACAAAAAAAAAATCAAGAGCTCAAAACGTTAAAAACTAATTAATGTAAAAGTACAAGAGAACAAAAAAACTTTACACATTACATACATCTTGTCACAGCTACCTTCTGGAATAAAAATGACAAAAAGTGTTCTAAAAAATACGGCATAACAAAGATGATCTTAAGAGCATCACTGTTTTAACTTCTGTATCTGCAGCGAGTAATACTCCTCTTGTAACTTCAAGACTTTTATCTGCCATTTAATTTTTTCTTTTTTTAGTTGTTCAAGATCCATGAAGTCCACTTCAGAGCTTGTTTGTGCTGTTGCTGAAGGCTCATCTAACACAGTGCTAGGGTTTTCTTCCTGAGGAGGCCTAGTTGAGACCAGAACATGTTTAGTTAATAAATTATTTAATATTTTCTTCTATATAAAAGACATTCATACCTTTCAATGATTTGTGCAGACTCTTCGATTATCACATTCGGTGGTGTAGCGTCTACTTTCACTGACTCCAGATCTATCTGAGAAATCTTAATATTCTCTATTATTATTTCTTCTAATGATATTGTGCCAACTCCTTGGTCCTGGAAGATGACAGTATCTTCTATGGGCATGTGTTCCACCTCAACCTGCTCCTCATTTTCAGTGTCACTGCAGTATAATAACGTCTCTCCTTGGGGCTCACTGGTTTCAACTGGTTCAGGATTCTCATCTTCGTTTGTGTCAGCTTTTTCTTTGCTCTGCATTTCCTCATCTTCATTTGTATCAACGTTTTCGTTGTTCTGCATTTCCTCATCTTCATTTGTATCAACGTTTTCATTGCTCTGCATTTCCTCATCTTCATTTGTATCAACGTTTTCATTGCTCTGCATTTCCTCATCTTCGTTTGTGTCAACTTTTTCTTTGCTCCGCATTTCCTTGTCTTCATTTGTATTAACATTTTCTTTGCTCTGTGTTTCCTCGTCTTCGTTTGTATCAACTTTTTCGTTGCTCTGTGTTTCTGTTGACATAGATCCGCTGCCTGAATGAAGACCACAACTTGAATAACTTTTTTGAATGGATTGTCCTGACATAATTTACTGTACTTGATAGTATAGAATATAGATCTTTTACTGGTACCACTGTCATAAAGTGGAAAAAAAGCTTTAACATTAATATTTAAAGGGCCTAAATTATGCTATTTTCAGATCTATGTTACAATGTTGTTTCCTCATCCAAAACATAGCTGGAGTTTAGTGCACCCTGCATATTTAGGCTGTGTTCTTCTCTCAAATAAAAAAACACTGTTCCACCTTGTGATATCATGTGGTAATACAGGAAGTGTTGCACTGTGTGTTTACACTCCATACACCTTCACTAGAATCATTAGAACAATTTCAGTCCTGGAATGGCCAATCTTTACTGAACCAATGGTAAAAAGGTAGCTGTTAACTTGAAAACTACCACAATATGATGTCACAAGGTAGAATAGAGCATTATGAGCTTTGGCAATGCAAAGAGATAAATAATAAAATAAAAACACAACTCTAGGTATGTTTTTTGAAGAGGTAACATAACATGGCTTAAAGTTAGTAGTACTTAATCTAACTGATTAGTGAGTGATCTTGTAATTTTCACAGTTTAGGGACCATTTTTACGATGTGGATTTTGACTTGGATATTTTAACTGACTCTGTTTTTTTTGGTTGTACTTATATTTTGCATTTGTCTTATTTACTCTTTATTTACTGCAGGTTTACTCCAAGATGGCATCTTAGTATTTCTAATAATCTTTGATAAATCTCTCTTCTTTGACCTGTAGTTGATGGTAGTTGGAAACTAAAGACAAGAATTCAGCAACTTACCATTTTGCAGTAGCACTACATCATTTAACAGCAGATGAAAATCACCCTGTAGAGGCTGAGAGAACATGTTATTATGTGTATTTTACATATAACTCAAAACAAATAAACTTACGTCTAGTCTGTGAAGAATTAACAAAGGTTTCCTCTGTGACACTCTGCTCGCAATGTCAATGGTGTCATTTTTCTCTATGGAGATTAAATCAGGATGTAATCAGACAGTGTCAAAACATACATAAACAAACACAGCCTTATGTTTAGTGTTGTCACAATGCTCAAACTCAATACCACAATAATTATTATCATGTGACCTCACATCTGTCGTCCAGGTTGGTTCTGTAGTTATCCATTAGAATATGACTTTTCAATACTTTTGACAGCCCTACTTACGTTCTTCATTTTGACCATCTGTGTGGTCTTCACTGGTCTCTGCTGGCTGTTCATCTGGTCCCACTTCTTCCTTATGGTTATTTTTGTCTTCAGACTCTAATAAAACCCATAAGAATATGTTTTGTAGACAATATGTCAAACAAAGATGGAGATGGTGGTGGACATAAAATGGATATAGTAACTCTTTAACCTTCAGGGTGACTCTTTTTATGTTCTGATGGCTGAAAAGTAAAATGAAAAAAAAAAAAAAAATTGGGTTTCCAATAAATGAGTGTCATCACAGTGGAGAAGTCTTACCTCTGAGGCCCTAAATGTGCGTCTTCTATTGGGTAGTGGGTTAAGGTAACGATGCTGTTAGAATATAATTTGATGATTAAATTATGTATCAATAATATTTGGACTTACAGATTGTAATAATTTCAAGTAAACCCACATCAATCCAAAAATTCAGTGGTTGGTTCTTGTAGGTAATTGTATTTTTCCATTTTTTATGTGACCCTTTGCCTCCAAACTGCTCAAATCCACTGGGAGAAAACCAGCGGCCCTCAGACTCAATACAGTCCTCCTGGCCTGGTGAGATGGTCCGGACATGGAAAGGTCATGCAAACGAACTGAACCATTTCAGAGATTCTGCAGGAGTTCATGCTTACCACTTTCTAGATTTTCTACATGTAAGATGCCCTTTTTGGTTCCACAGGTCACATCCCATTGAGGCCACCCTATTTTTCAAAGCTATATTTGCCACACAGCTCCAATGTCAACTTCAAATGACATATTTTGCTACTTACTAGATAGCATTTCTTCAGAGTTCTCCTCATCCTCCTCCACAATGTCACTGTCTTCACTCCCTTCTGAGGAGATATAATTGGTCTTTAGTTTTTTCCGAGGACTAACCCATCTTTTGGGCTCACCCTCTCGGCTCCTTTCTCTCCCAGTTGATGGCACTCTCTCTCTGGTGCGCATTGCGTCCTAAAAAAAACAAAAAACAAAAACATGTCATACAAAGGTTTAATTGACTTTTGTTTAAAGTAAAAGAAAATGTTACACCCAGATACATATCAATACTAAAATTACTATTGAAATATGTTATTAGGTTCTTTTTTCAGACCAAGTGTTTGTTTTCATACCGGACAGTTTCGACTGCTCACCAGCAGTATTCTTTAGAGTGGTCACATGATGTTGCTGTGACGGGTTCGGTCAGCTGATTTATACAGGTTTTGGTGCTGTCTTTGTACTGGAGGAGGCAGGATGACAGCGCCATCTGCAGTCCGACTTCTTCAGGACAGTATCCCAGGTGTGTGCGAGTAAAAAAGTACCATTGTCCCGGTTTATAGTCTGGTGGACACATTTCCATATTTCGATTGCCTCTTTAAGGGAGGCTTTTTTACTCTCACACACCTGGGATACTGTCCTAAGGAAGTTGGACTGCAAATAGCGCTGTCATCCTGCGTCCACCGGTAGAAAGACGGCACCAAAACGTGTTTAAATCAGCTGACCAAACATGTTATAGCAACATCATGTGACCACTCTGAGGAAGACCGCTAGTGAACAGTTAAAACTGTCAGGTATGAAAACAAACTCATGGTCTGAAAAAGAACCTAATAACATAAACTATCAGAAGACAAAATGAACCTCATTGGATTACTACTGAAATAGATAGGTGAAATAGATAACAGGAATTGATACCGAAAGAACAAAAATTGGACCTATCCTAACTTGTTTTAGGATCACATGGTATGATATGAAAGATACTGCTGATGTAGAAACTACTAACCTAACCCTAAGTGTTACATAGCCTGAATACCTGTTGTCCACAAATTTGTTTGTTTATTACCATGTATCAAAATTTCTATCAAGTCTTATGTAGTATCAGAATAAATTTTTACGTCTTGGTGTCAGTGACAACACTAGTTTAAAGTACTATATTGCTCAAAATGTACTATTCTGAACATTAATGCAGACAAAACATTGGCCCATTGGACCTGTTTATTTAGACTGGCTTGCTCTTGAGGACTCACAACACCTGACCCCACAATTTAATATCAGTTGGGTGCCAATGGGGTGCTCCTCTGTGTTTTTAAAGTTCACACACTCCAGCACCACCACTCTCTTTCTAATGACCTAAGCTCTCCAATTGGCTTCACCAGACAAATGATTAATTTGACACTAGAAGCTACTATTAAATTAGTTGAGTTACTGTTTCACTCCTCAGTGTATCAATACAGTCTTTGTGCCCTCTGCTGGCAAACTATAATTGTAATAAACATGTAGTTAATTAAATTGGACTTAATTCTAATTTGAAATACCTTAAAGGTGCATTGCATATCTTTTCAGGTAGATGGTCCATCACATGCTTCTCTCCATTGAGATGTATTACCTGGAATGTTCCACAATATGGCATTACACTATTCATCTCTAAGTAAGACTGCAAGTTTTTAGGTTGATAAAAACCTATGTTATTGAGTAAATGCAAAATCGATACGTTTAATGCCATACGGGGACATTCCAGACAAAACAATAACATCTCCATGGAGACAAGCAGGTGGCGGAGCTTCCACCAGAAAAGTACCTTTAATAGTACATAATAGTAATACATCGACTTAAGACATTTAAGACAAGCCTCTAAATATATTTTATAGGGAGAAACAAACGGGGATGTATGACCAATAAGCAAACACTGTAAAGCTAAACCAAAACAGTGCAGACCACAGACTGTATGAAAGTGCAAAAAGAGGACCACAGTCTGTATGGAAGTGTACATACGGGACCTGGGGTTCCCACTCTTTTACACTGTCAAAATTTCTAAATTTTTCCACGTCTTTTTCATGACCTAATGTGAATTTTCCATGACTTTATGGCACCCTATATGTGTAGAATTGATCAGACTTTTAGGGCTAAAAATTAAATGTTAACCCTTTGCACTCACCTTATGGTTATGATATTATCTTTTTTTTTTTACATTCAAATACTGTCAGTGCATTAAGTGTCGTCTCTTTTAAACAAAAGACGCATATGTTCATATAATCATAATAGCCTCATGATAACAACAGAACGCTGTAGTTACGTTTAAGAAATACTAAAATTCCCTGACTTTTCCAAAACTTTCAGTGAATTTACAAAATTCCATGACTTTTCCAGGCCTTGAAAATGCCATTTTCAATTTGCATGACTTTTCCAGGATTTCCATGACCGTGGGAACCCTGGGGACCACACATGTGGAAGTGCACACAATGTACACGGGTTAGCATTAGCTTTAGCTTTAGCTTTAGCTTTCTCCCGGAAGAAAACAGCCTCAGCACCAGAGAAAATAAAACAATAAAAGAGTGAACCTGTGAGCGCGACAAACACCCCGAGGAGCTCTGTACATGCAACAAGCCACATCAGAGATAATATATCGCTTAACTTTCTTTGTTAGCATTGTTAGATTCTTGTTCTTTTGCAATGGACTGCTAAGAAATATTACCATCCCTCTCACTCACTATGATCCATGATCCACCTCTGATCTATTTACAAAGGAAATATTAATAGGAAAGTAACAAAGCACGTTCAAAGAAACACAAATACGATACGAATTTGTAAATATAAATATGTAGCTAAATAGGATGCAGTTCTCTTGTAATAACTCTGTAATAACAAATATAGCCTATATTTTTAAAATGCATTTATACTCAAAGAGTAAAAGCCTTACCACTCCTGTTTCTTTTTGTGAGATATAAAAGTGAATTTAAACAGCCCTGGTGTGCAGCTGCACGCGGGTTGCCAGATTGGGTTTAGTGATTTCCGCCCAATCACGTTCGAAAACCCGCCCCCTTCAACAAAAACTGCCCAACAGCGTTTTGTCACAGAAAACATTTAATCTTTGAATAAACGTATGCAATTCATTGTTGGGCTTTAAAAAAACAAACAAAGCAAAAACAAAACAAAAACATTGCCAGTATTGGGAAAACAAGTTAAATGTAAAACTGTATTTTCATTTATCACCAGAAAAAAAGTCATTTAGCCTAAAATGTGAATAAAAATGTTGTAGCTTGTTGGTACTATTGGTTTAAAAAAAACTAAAAAACAAAACAAAACAAAAAACAGGATTGCCAGGATTGAGAAAACATATTATGTAAAACCAATGGTCTGCTATGGTCTGCTATAGCCTTGGCTACTGCAAGAACAGCTGGCAAACACAGAGCCTGAAACTCAAACATCAAAGAATTTAATCTGTGCAACAGCTGAACACCGGGAGGTCTGAACGTAGAGGACGTCCATTCAATTGTACTGAGGCCGGAGCACCTTCATAAGACTGCACAGGAGTGAAAGTCCCATATGGTTCCTCGCTTTATTGCATTATTGCGTTTTGCATTGATTGGTGTGAAAACAAAAAACACCCAAACTTGTTGAAAGTAGCCCAAATATTATACACCCGCCTAAGACTTCCCTGTGGAGTAAGAAAGCTTTCAGAGATTTTCATGTGCATAGGATAAAAATCTATGCATTTGACTGTAGTTGAGCATAAAATAAATATTCATTAACTCTTGAATGAGTGCAGTCGTACATTAAATGTATTGTGTGTTTTATCCATCAGAATATGAATTGAAAAGTTATGACATCAGTAATTACGATCATGAAATTAAAATTTACTGTTATGCTTTCTTCAGTACAAATATTAATTCAAATTGACTTTACTGTTAAAAATACGTCATCACATCACAGGCATTATTTATTAAGTAGAAGAAACATCGATCGAGATGCTGGCCACATACGGACTGAACCAGAATTGAACACTGAACTATGACAAACAGGACTAAACAAGGTCTAAACCAGGTCTAAACCAGGACTAATTTTGGACTTGATAGAGAGAAAGGGAGAACCCCGAGCCCACGGAGCAGGGTGTCCGCAAAGCACAATCGGGCGACGGTCTTTCGCCCAACTACGCGGCGCAACTCGGGGCCCATCCTGACACTCAGTCCTGGTTCAGTCCTGGTTTAGTCATATTTCAGTCCTGGTTTAGTCCTGGTTTAGTCCTGGTTCAGTCCTGGTTCAGTCCGTATGTGGCGCAAAAGTCCGGCATCTCTGTGCCTTCTGTTTCTTCTGCTCAATAAATAATACCTGTGAATGATGACATATTTTTGACAGTAAAGTCGCGTCTGTGAATTCATATTTGTAGTGAAGAAAGCGTAGTTGTACATTTTCATTTCGTGATTGTAATTATGTTGTAACTTTTCAGTTTATATTCTGACGGACTGGACTCATTCAAGAGTTTACGAATGTTTATTTTAAGCTCAACTATAGCCAAATATGCACAGACCTCTATCCTATGCACACGAATATTTCTGAAAGCTTTCTTACTCCACACTTCCCCTCCCCGCTGGACGTAGTCAAAAGTTGCCCAGATGGGCGGGCAACCCAATCTGGCAACACTGTCTGCAAGATGGTAACAACTCCTCCTACAGGATTGTACAGGACTAGTCTGTGGCTGCACCCCATGTTTGTTTACAACTGGGGTCAGGCATTCTAATAAAAAACAATAATTGAAGGATCAGGTATTTTGCACAGACCTGGTGGGAAATATTTTATTTCATTTTAAATATGCACTATGTATTCTAACTTTTTGTGGTGGGGCAGCTTCTGCCACTTGCTTGTCTCCATGGAGCTTTGCAAGAAACAAGCATGATGTCAGAGGTCTGATCTGTGGAGAGGCGAGCCTGCTCACTGTAAGAATTCATGTTTTTTGTTTTTTCTTAGCAATAAAAACACCAGTAACTAAAAAAATACAAGATAGATACTTTACCAGGAATGGCACATTGTGGGCAAAGGCAAAGCAGTAACATCTCTGTGGAGACGAACTGATGGCATCACCCCACCAGAAAAATGTGTGCACCGTTAATATTAAAATTTTTAGATTGAAGGCTCTTGGCCGTTGACTCTTGAACATGAAGATGAGTCAGTTTTGGGATTGTGACTCAGATCAACAGAATGTTTCTCAGACCTGTTTAGACGAGTTCAGGGCAGATAGGCTTGTGTCTTTTCAGAAATCAGCACATATTTCTTTTGACAATCATCAAATATCATATGAGATGTTTTTTGTTTCATTACTGAATAGGTCTATAGAAGATATTGAATTGTCAATTCAAAGTTTTTTTTTCTTCTTTTGACTATGATGAAATGGAAATGAAAGCAACGATGCAACACACAAGAACACGGTCTACCCCCTCTCTATAATTATGTTCTAAACACTCCCAATGTGTTTGATTTGTGCAAGATTGTTGTGTGCAATGAGCAGGGAGTGCTGCTGTTTTATCACTGCACAGCTATGAGCAATCAGATAATGCATACGTAAACACATTTTAATACACACCTACTACTGTACTGTACTGTGTTTTGCTCATACACAAAACAGTTTTCTTCATTTTATCTAATATAGAAAACATTTTTATTATTTATGTTATATTATCTTTTCTGTGATAAAACAGTAGACAGTGTTATTACATATACTTAACCTACAAGTTTTTTTAATGTTTTTTTTTTGTCATGAAACACTTGGTACAAGGAGCTTGGAATATTTTACAAAAAAATGTTTAATGACATTTAGCACAAATTTAATTTGTATTTAATACAAATTATTACAGTAAATCAGTCATAAAAAGTAGTGCGGCTATTCACGTCAGTTAATGATATATCAGTTAAATTAAAAACTAAAATGAAAAGTCCATGGACAATTTCTCATTGCACATTTTCCACAACACCACCGTACAAACACAACAGAAAGTGTCCCTCATCACTTTTTGTCCGCTAGTCTTTGTAACAGCGCTATAACTGTGTCCTGCTTGGATGACAGCAGCTCCAGGGCCGTGGCCACTCTGCCTAGAGACTCTACCATCCTCTGCTCCCTCCTCTCTCTCCTCTTCTCCCTCACCTCCGTTCTGCGTCGTGCCACCCGGTCCAAGTAGGCCTGCTCCTCCTGCCTCTTCAGAACCTCCCTGACCAAAGCCGTGGCAGATTGCTCCTCGCTGCCTTTGTTTTCAGCTCCAGACGAGGGTGCCAGTGAGATGGAGGTGGACGACGAGAGACAAGAGTTGGAAGAGGACAAGCTGGAGATGTTTTTGCTTAACTGTGTGCTGCTGAGACGAAACGGTAGGATGCTGGAGGAGAAGTTGGGGGTTTTGCGGGTGACGAAGCGGGCCTTGCTGAGGTCTATGTTACCGGACGACGTTGAGACCGTAGATGCTTTATTGGAAGAGGAGGATGCGCTGGTGGTAGTGGACTGGAGACCGCTCGCAACGATATCACCGTTGAGGAAAATTAAGGGCTTAATGTCTGTGGTGCTGTTGGGGCTGATGGTCACCGTGGTAACAGAGGAAACAGAGGATGATGAAGGTTTGCTGTCGGGGGTTCGTGTGGTGCTGCTGGGCTGGAGGAGGGAGGTGGTCTGGGGAAGGTGGGGTTTGACGACGATCTTGGTCACAGGGCCAGGCGGAGGGCAGGCAGGGTTGGATGGTTTGCTTCGTTTGTTGTTGTTGATCTGTGAGCCCACGGTGTCAGAAAGAGTGGCATCCATCAGCTGAAAACAGGAGAGAAAAGAACTCTTCAGTACAGAACATGTCATTAAACCAGTACATTATTTGGTTATTTTATTGCACACTTATATTTAAAGGTCCTATATTACACACACACTTTTAGTCAATGCTGTTACCTCCTTAAAACAAATCTGGAGTTGTGTTTTGTTTCATTTATTCATTGTTTAATTAACATTATATATAGATCAGGTCAGTAGCGTAATGTGGGCCTGTTAAAGTTCATTTTACTGCGATTATTTATGTATTGATTTGCTTGTATTGTGATTTTAATGTAAGTGTGTATTTAATGTAATGTATAATGTATTTTTATGACATAGGTACATTGTGTAAAAGTTGTGCTGTACAAGTAAACTTGCCTTGGCTTTCAGATGTGCACAAAACTAGAATAATTTGTCGCTTATGTCAATTTAGGTTTGCTCTTGGGGCCACTGGGTGTTCAATTTTCATGCCCATGGGTTTCAGAATAAGAAATTAGGATCGTTGCCATAGTTATTACCCATTTAAAACATGACAAATTATAATTTTTGACTGGGGATCCTCAAATTGTTAAAAAGCATGCTGAAACTCATGAATAATCCAACATATAATTCCCACTACAACATGTATTACTCCTGTGAAATGTGTCTTCTGTCACCAGATGTGACTGACCGGCAACTAGTGTTAATATAGACATAGTCCTTTAAAATGTTCTTTGTAATGGCATAACTCACATCAAAAAACTCCCATGATGTCTTGGCGTGACCTGTCTCCCTGCTGCGGTCCTTAACCCTCTTGTAGGTGACAATAAGGTTGTTCCATTTGCGGCGGATCTTTTCTACAGGAAGTACGTGTCCTTTAGAGGCCATTTCCTCCTGGACACTCTGGAAAAGTTGTGAGCGTTCCCGAGTGTCGTACAACCCCCAGCGCCGACCCACCGCCTCAATCAAACACAGCACGGCTTTGGACGAGAAGTCTGAGCCGGAGGGCAGGGGCTTTTCTGAGGGACCAGAGGACATCCCAGCAGCTGTAACACACAGGGGAGGGAGTCAGCACTGCAACAGGTGGGACCTACAACTCAAACACATTCAATATGTTCGACCACAATACTGTATGTTAACCTGTATGTGAGCAACTCAATTCAACAGTTCACCTAGATGATGAAAAGTTAACAATTCAGTCTTTGCTCAAGATGATTCTCTAGATTTCCTATAGAAGGATGAGGTGTAAATGAGCAGAAAGTGTTTATTTTAATAACAGATTTGTTGGGGTAAAACTGTAATTAATATAAAATCGATCTTTGATAGTGCTTGGAGACTGCTCCATGAGAAACCATATGTTTGGTACCTGGTGCAATCTTAAGGTAAGTCTTCCCATCTGCGGCTGTGGTGAAGAAGCGTTCTGTGTTCACGGGGTCTAAAAAGGACACAAACAAAGTTGAAGCCCGTGTCAAAGACATAGAGCTGTCTCCGGGTCTCAGTGCTGATGCATACTGCACTCACACAGCAGCACGGGCGTGCTGGCCGAGGCGCCGTGTTGCTCCTCTGCAGATTGCCCTCCTCCCCCTCCTTCTGTGCTCGCGCTCACGCCGCGGGGCGCAGGCGGATCCTGGCTGCTCACGGCTGCTGCAAATGGCTTCACGTCCTCCTCCTCATCGAGGACCAAGTTCGCTGTCGAAGCTACGTCGTCGTTGCTGCTCCCCTGTGCAGTCTCCATGTCTTACGTTAATGCATAACATGAGCCACACGGGTAAGCAACGCTGTCCTTCACTGCGCAGGTGGAGATTTGGGAGAAAGTTTGTAGACGGCGGATGGCAGTCCGTGAATAGTACTTCTGCTTGGAGTATATTTCACTTCAACACTAGACAGTTCAAACTGTTTCTGCACGACGCACAATCCAGCTATCTTCAGTGTTTTTCTGAGAAGAGAAATGGCTGTCCTCAGCCTTCGGATGCGCAGAGCGACTGCGCAGCTCTCTGCGCACTGCTGCTGGCAACTGTGCCACTGACGTCAACTGCACAACACACTGCAGTGGACACGATAATACACATGGTACACCGGTAAGGAGCAATGAACAATATAATGATGGACTGGATTTCTCTTGTTTTAGCCCAGAAGGCTTCTCAAAACAATGTATATTACGGCTATTCATTCACTCCACCAGTCCAAGAGGGTTAGGTTACCTTTTCTCAACTTATCATGAAAAACAGAGATGTTCTGTTCAGTAGGTCAGACAATCGTGGTTTTGTTTGTGTATTAATCACCGCATCTTTAATACACTGACACACGTTTATTTACAAAAAAGGTACAAATCCAATTTACATTTTGACAAAACATTGTTATTAGACAAACACTTTCCCACATCAGCAGAACCCCACACACAAGCCATAAATGTACTTTTATTATCATTGCATTGCTATGTAAGAAAAAAACACTGTTCCTATTAATACCAGATACTTGGACAACTCCAGACCAAAATGTAATCCCATTGTTGTAATCTACTTAGTATTTTCCATTATAACACTGGGCATTTCAAAATGTTGAAATTAACTTTGTTGCATATGTTTGATGAAATTCATAAGTGAAAACACTACTTTGGTGTAAAAAAAAAAAAAAGTCTGTGGTGAGGGACACTGTTAGACTCAACAAGAAGGCCACAGCCATGTTGTGAGTGAGGACTTGGACTCTCTGAATGTAGTGTTCAGACATAGACCATAGAACTTTTACATTATTCACTATACACTATACAACATATTGCATAAATATGTAATATGTCACATTATATATAAATATATTGCATGGGTTCTATATGTGATTATAAAGTTGAGTTATTATGTATGCATATTTTATTTCTTATTCTAGTTGTATTTTAGGATTTAATTAATAATAAATTTTTTATTTTATTTATTTATTTATTTTTTTTAAATAAATTTTTAACAGTTTCTATTCGCTGATTGGCTGCATGTCGTTAGCAAAATTAATGTCCCCTTGAGGGATGAACAGAAGTATTTCTGATTCAGATTCAGAATCTTCCTCTGATGCCACTTGTTGGATCTTAAACACTGTGTTCAATTCTCCTTGAAAAAACTCTTTTATTGTTGTGCCAATGGAAAGAAATTCAGGATTATCCTGCAAACAAAACAGAACATTTTGCTAAACAAGTCAGTAAGAGAGTACCAACCAATGAAGAAAACGTACCCGGTTATATGAGGCACAGTTAGTGAAGATGAGATCGATATCAGACACAAAGTCTCCCACTGTTTGATATCTATTATTCTGGAGATTGTCTGCTACTTGGTCGAAACACATGGGTGTGGAGATCACTTTTGTGTATTCTGGGAGATGACATGGGTCGGATTTAAAGAGATTGTCCTCATCTGCCCTGTAGAGACCCAGCAGCAGGTGCTGACAGTGCTGTGGACACAGGATATGGTGGGACCAGTCCATGTAGAACAGTGACAGTTGTGCAGTTTTCTCACCTGCATGTGATCTGATATCGGACGGGACATGGCTTCTTCCATCTCCAACTCTGGGTACAACACCAAAGATCTGAAGAGAACACACGGAGTGCACATCCACGGGGTGTCATCACTGTATAGAGACATAATGAACAAGAGCAGCATTAGTTTAAGTGACCCACTGGAGAAGGACCACATGGAGTTTTCCCTAACAGTGCACCTGGAGTTTACCAACAGTGCACCTGGAGTTTACCAACAGTTGCCCCATTTACAAGAGAGCTTCTGATTAAAAATAGTTAAATTCAGAATAAAATCATTTAATTCAGAATAAAAATTAATTCTGCTTTAAAAAGACCATATAAACACTTAATTCCTAATGATTATTCAGAATTAAACTTATTCGGAATAAAACTTAAATCCGAATTAAGTGAGTGGTTTATTCAGATTTTAAAGCCGAAATTATTCATTCCGCGATTGTGTAAGTGTTTATTCCTCTTAAAAATAATTCTGATCATTCAGCACATACACGTTGGGTTGCCTTTCTGACGCAATGACGCACTGCAAAATAGCGAAAAAAGTATTTTGTGTCAGGGTCAGCCCAATGTTCCCGGTACCTCTGTTCCCCAGTGCCTATGTTGCCCAGGAGAACAGCAGTACCTCCAATGGCGAAAGGTAGTGATGTTCCCTGCTAACACCGTGAGTCGTTCTCATCCCAAGTTATCTTCATGAACTCATAAAACAGCAACTTTGTACAAAACTCGCAGCACATCAGCCCACTGAGTTTGAGTAACAGCAGCAGGCAACAGCGGTGTCATTACCACTGCTGGCTGCTGCTGTTACTCAGTAGCACTCAGCGTAGCGTGCAGTCTCTCAGGACGGGATTGGATGTCCATTCCTTGGTTTTGTGCCTCCGAATGTGTTGATCAGATAGGTTCAGAGGCTCCGTCCTCCATGTGCTAGTTCTAGACGTCGACAAGCAAGACCAATGTGCACTAGAATGGGTCTGAGTGGTTCCGTGCCGTCCTCTGTTGTTGCACTTGTTCTGTGTGGAGAAAGCGACAATGCGCAGTGGACTACAGGTCCGTGTGGGTTTCCCTGGTCCTCCGTGCTCGAGGGCTGGATGGTTCCGAGAGGGTGCATCCAGACAGAAACTCAAATTCAATACAAATTGTTCTGAGCGTCCTCTGTGCAGTTGGTTCTTCCCGGGGGAAAGCACTTCTCAGACCGAGGCACCTAACCACTCCCCGCTCCAGGTCATCAGAGCCCGGCCTGAACCAGAGGAACACCGGGACCTCTGAGCGCTGTTCCCCTGCACATACAAACTGGAGCAGTACTGGGGGACATAGGTATACACCCCCAAGTGTAACGATGAACCGAGATGACACAAAAGCTGGTATCCAGCTGAGTGTATGTTTTCTTCCGGTAGATGTAAATACGTTCGTGTCCCTGACCAATCAGAACCGTTCCAAACCCCCAGACATTGAGCAGAATTAAATAGAGTCGATTTAATTCCCATGTAAACCTTCAGAATAATTAATGCGGAATTAAAAAAACATCATGTAAACGTGGCCATTGTGTCTGGAGTTTACCCTAACAGTGCGTCTGTGATGTGTGGCAGGTGACATTCCTGATGGAAGGATCGAGGGCACTCATCACACTCCACCAGGGTTCCTTCTCCATGGCAGACCCAGCACTCATCGTCATTCCTCTCTCTGTCCTGCAGGGCACACACAGGGCATTACTTTAAGACAAGATTTGGCACAGTAAACTATAAACTCCCTGTGCCAATTTTAATGGTAGAGACACAGGTTTTGTACATGTGCATTTGAAGGTGCCATGATGTTGTGCTCTAACATAATCACTTTAGATTTGGTCATATTGGCTGTGCTTTAAACAACAGAATAAGTGCATCCAACAACAACCCTGTTGTTGACATGATGTCTACTCACCAAATCTTCACTATCTGGAACACACAGGCTACATTTACACAACACTGAGTGAATCGCCAAAACCTTTGCCTGTAATAGACATATTATTGTATTGGTACAAATCCTGTGACTCTCTCATCATCATCTTTTGAGTTTAAAGCAGAACAACAGGGATTTACAGCCTACTGGTGCAGGGGAGAACAGTTACCTTTAATAGCTCTCCCAGTGGCTTTCCTTCACACTTGATGTCTTTCTGCCATGAAATATCTGTCTGACATGAGGCCTCCTTCACAAAGTCCACTGGGGTCATCCAGCTGCTCTCAGTGCGGATGCTCTTCCCACATGTGCCTGGTGGTACAAAGCACTGTCAGCTATATGCCACAGAACAGGAAGTGACAAATGCAGAATATTACCAAGCCTTACCTGAGGCAAAGCGTTTAGTGTGGAGTAAACCAGTGATATCCTCACACACCACCTTTAGGACTCTGTGTGGGATGTTTCTTGGTTCTGATTGCAACTGTGCAAGACCATCTTCATCATCTTGTTCATGTTCCTCTATATTTGATACATTAAAACAATTGAAACAGATATTAAAAATAAAATAGCAACAGAATCTAAATCATCACCTATTGAATCTGAGGAACTTTCTCTGCTTGATGAATCACCACTGGCGTCTTCAGTGTCAGTCACTGTAGAGATAGTTGTACAATGAGACTTCATGTGCAGAAAATCTTTTCAATTAAAGTGCATTTTATGAGTAACAAACCTGTGGTTTCCTCAGGGGGAAATAAATGCTTCTTGACCTTGCATGAGTACAGAGTCAAATTCATTTAAAGTCAACATTATAAATGTAGATTACAGAAGTATGATGAAAATCACCTTTGAGAATCCTATGGTCTTCAGATGTCCTTCCTAAGGAACAAAATTACTTTAATGGCTTAAGGCAAATGCTTTGGTTTAATGTTAGTGTTGCAGGTGCTGTAACATCTTACTTGTATAAGTTTTATTAGAGGTGTATCCCTACAGTAGATGCTTAATTTCCAGTTCTTATACGCTCCCTTCCCTGCACGTCGCTCAAATTCAGAAGGAGTGTACCACCGCCTGTTCACCAGGATGCACTTTTCACCTAAAGACACACAGTTCTTCATTTAAAATAAAAAAATAAATAAATATAAACAGATTTAAAAACCTATATTTTCAACATAGCAGTCTACAGTTTGCTGGAAGTCGCTGCTTAAGAATAAGCCAACACATTGCTTGCCAACCCTTTAAATATCCCTGACCTAGACCAATACCTTTTGCCAGTCTGTCCCGGTTCAGAGTGCCCTTCAAGTCTCCACAGGTCACTGGCAGCTGGACTTTATAAATCGTCCATGTCCAGATATCTCCTTTCTCTCCCTTCTTCAGTGGAGTGGCTGTGTTAAGGCAAACATTTAATTAGTAATACGCTCTTATTACTGTAAATAATAAAGTATGTATTCAGGAATTACAGAAGCACAGTTTCTTGCTTTTCTTTCTTAAACGTGGTGTAACTTGAGTAGAGGTAGATGGCTGCTCA